TGCGAAGTGACATCGCGACAATGCGAAGCGACGCTCGACAACGCTAAGCGATATGCGACAATGCGAAGCGATGCTCGACAGTGTCAAACGATATGTCGCACTGTCGCCTAGAAATGTCGCGGTAAAAAAGGGCGACATTTAAGAAATGTCGCTTCGCGTTGTCGAGTGTCGCTTCGCATTGTCGAGCGTCGCTTCGCGTTGTCGCGATGTCACTTCGCGTTGTCGCGATGTCACTTCGCGTTGTCGCATTGTCACTTCGCATTGTCGAGTGTCGAGGTTGGTAGAAGTGCATACCACGACACTCGACAATGCGAAACGACAACGCGACAATGCGATACGACGCTCGACAATGCGAAGTGACACTCGACATCGCGAAGCGACATTTTTTAAAATGTCGAGTAAATGTCGCGTTATTTTTATGATTTTTACACCGCGACGCTCAACATTGCGAAGCGACACTCGACAATGCGAAGCGACACTCGACAACGCGAAGCGATACTCGACAACGCGAAGCGACACTCGACAATGCGAAGCGACATTTGGAATAATATCGTATCGCATTGTCGTGCGTCTACCGGTGCTTGGTCAGAATTTACTAACTCACCGACAAACGGTGCGATCATGGAAGGGGTCGCACTAAACTGCTGACGAATTAGCTGACGATATAGAATATATAGGAAACTGCTGACCAGTTAAACAAAGAAGGATTATCGAAAACTGCTGACCAGTTAGATAAAGAAGGGAAAACAATGAAGGTGTCAAATTGCCGTTGGTGATATTACAGGCGAGGTCGAGAAATACTTGATAAAAATGTTTTTTTCAAGATGTCAATATTACAAATGATACATATTAATTATAAAAAATTCAATTGATATATACTGTATATTTCTCAATTTATTTTGATATAATATTTTATTTAAGTACCTTTAATGAATTTTCTTCTATGTGTTATATATTGGTTAAAATTTTTAAAAGTAGTCAAAATATGATGTACGAAAAATCATAATTTGTTTTCAAGTATGTATAAAACTATGCATCATAGGTTAAAAATATATACATGTACATATACGTAATGTATATTTTAACAAAATATAATTATTATGTCGTATTTAGTGCAAATATGAAATAAAGTGATTTCTGTTTCCTTATTTGTTGTTCGTATAATTGTATAAGTAATATTGAACAAAAATTAATAATGTGCTAATTGTTATAGTTAATAAGCTTTTATTACATTATAAACAACATGTTTCCACAGATATCCATTAAACTGATAATTTATCGAGATCGATATGCCCCAAGGTCATATTAAAATCGATTTCACACGCGACGTGTCATTCTTGATTTATCTATGACAAAATACAATAAACAGTCAAAAATATGTTATTAAAATGCTGACCATATTGTAGAATCTGCTGACCAGTTAGATATATAGAGAAAAATATATTTAAATGCTACGAAATTGTTACTCATTATGCAAATTTAATATATTTTGTAAAATAATGTCGACATTTAATTAAGTAAAAACACTGCTGACCAATTTAATGTTAATTCAAATTGATTTAAGCCGTAAAACTCTCTTATTCTATATGGTCAGCAAATTTAACGCTCTTTACATTCAGGCGAGAAAATGCTGACCAGTTAAACATAAAGTAGAATCTGCTGACCAGTTAGATATATAGGGAAACTGCTGACCAGTTAGATATATAGAGAAAAATATATTTTGTCGTGAAATTTTAATTCATTTTATAATGTACGAAATTCAATATATTGTATAAAATTTTGTCGACATTTAATTAAGTAAAAACACTGCTGACCAATTTAATGTTAATTCAAATTGATTTAAGCCGTAAAACTCTCTTATTCTATATGGTCAGCAAATTTAACGCTCTTTACATTCAGGCGAGAAAATGCTGACCAGTTAAACATATATAGTAGAATCTGCTGACCAGTTAGATATATAGGGAAACTGCTGACCAGTTAGATATATAGAGAAAAATATATTTTGCCGTGAAATTGTAATTCATTTTTATTATGTATGCAAATTCAATTTATTTTATAAAATTATGTCGACATTTAATTAAGTAAAAACACTGCTGACCAATTTAATGTTATTTCAAATTGATTTAAGCCGTAAAACTCTCTTATTCTATATGGTCAGCAAATTAAACGCTCTTTACATTCAGGCGAGAAAATGCTGACCAGTTAAACATATATAGTAGAATCTGCTGACCAGTTAGATATATAGGGAAACTGCTGACCAGTTAGATATATAGAGAAAAATATATTTTGCCGTGAAATTGTAATTCATTTTTATTATGTATGCAAATTCAATTTATTTTATAAAATTATGTCGACATTTAATTAAGTAAAAACACTGCTGACCAATTTAATGTTATTTCAAATTGATTTAAGCCGTAAAACTCTCTTATTCTATATGGTTAGCAAATTTAACGCTCTTTACATTCAGGCGAGAAAAATGCTGACCAGTTAAACATATAGACATGTAGTAGAATCTGCTGACCAGTTAAATATATAGGGAAACTGCTGACCAGTTAGAAATATAGAAAAAATATATTTTTGTCGTGAAATTTTAATTCATTTTATAATGTACGAAATTCAATATTTTGTATAAAAATTTTGTCGACATTTAATTAAGTTAAAACACTGCTGACTTATTTAATATTAATTCAAATTGCAATTATTGCTTTTGAAAATACATTTTTTTTCCGTTACAAGATTTTTCTATTGAAATATCACTAACAAGAGATTTTGATAAAACTCATAACATCATAATTCTTTATAAAACATTAATTCAAATTTTTGCATATCTTTAGAGGTATAAAAAGCTGTTTAATATATCCTTCTAAAATCACGGATTTATATTACATGTAGTAATGTAAATCCGTGTTAAAATGTATGATATTATGGTACTTTAAATGTATATATTAATTTAGATTATAAACATAGTCATATAAATGCAAAAATTAAAAATATAATTAAAAGAATAAAAGTAATTTCCCATCTTTTTATTACCCCCTACGGCGTGTTTATATAACTTCACACCTTCAATGTTTCCCTTCTTTGTGTAACTGGTCAGCATTTTCCGATAATCCTTCTTTATTTAACTGGTCAGCAGTTTCCTATATATCTATATCGTCAGCTAATTCGTCAGCAGTTTAGTGCGACCCCTTCCATGATCGCACCGTTTGTCGGTGAGTTAGTAAATTCTGACCAAGCACCGGTAGACGCACGACAATGCGATACGATATTATTCCAAATGTCGCTTCGCATTGTCGAGTGTCGCTTCGCGTTGTCGAGTATCGCTTCGCGTTGTCGAGTGTCGCTTCGCATTGTCGAGTGTCGCTTCGCAATGTTGAGCGTCGCGGTGTAAAAATCATAAAAATAACGCGACATTTACTCGACATTTGAAAAATGTCGCTTCGCGATGTCGAGTGTCACTTCGCATTGTCGAGCGTCGTATCGCATTGTCGCGTTGTCGTTTCGCATTGTCGAGTGTCGTGGTATGCACTTCTACCAACCTCGACACTCGACAATGCGAAGTGACAATGCGACAACGCGAAGTGACATCGCGACAACGCGAAGTGACATCGCGACAACGCGAAGCGACGCTCGACAATGCGAAGCGACACTCGACAACGCGAAGCGACATTTCTTAAATGTCGCCCTTTTTTACCGCGACATTTCTAGGCGACAGTGCGACATATCGTTTGACACTGTCGAGCGTCGCTTCGCATTGTCGCATATCGCTTCGCGTTGTCGAGCGTCGCTTCGCATTGTCGCGATGTCACTTCGCATTGTCGTGTGTCTACCCTTAGACGCGACGGACGACATTCTAAATGGCACGATAAGGACACCGTAGTTTACGGATATTTTTCGTCTCTCAGCATCATTATTATGTCAAATAGCTCTTTCGCAATGTTTTGTATGTTCCTATATATAAAAGATAAACAAAGATAAACATTTTACAACACGAAATGTTTAAAACAGTAGTACTGTTATAATGGACATGGCTCATATATATGTATCGCATGTCAATTTTATATGTCTTATTTTTCGAACATGCCTTTTCCTGTAAAAAACAACAATTTTTATTCTGAAATAATAGACTGCTTTTTTTTGCGATTAAAATCCCCGAAATTCTCCATTAATTGAAGACTCGGACATTATAAACAGGACATATGTAAGAGGGAATGAAACCATACTATGCAATAAAGCGAGTACAAAAAATAGATATATCAGCATTACATAAAAAGTTTTAAAAACCAAACCGAATATCTTTAATCGTGGAACGGTATATTCTCGAATATATTCTATGTAAGACACATAACACTTCTAAAGATTAAGTTTCGAATGGCCAGGAAAATATTATTGGATATGGTTAATATACTGGATTTAGATGACTGGTTGTTTGAAATGATTTTTTATCGTCAAGTTTTTGTGACTTTCGGGAATATTGAACCATGCCCAAATTCGAAAAAAATGCCCAAAAATCACATCATGTTGATTTATAAAGGTAAGGCTCCCAGTTTTGTATACCTGCTTTTACTCAACAATGGACATGTATCATAACATCATATTATTATCTCGCAGATCTACGGTGAAGGACACCGTACAAATAATTAAATTTCAAGACTTTTCATAATTTCCGAGTCTCTGGTATAAACTAGGCAGTTAAAAACGTAATAAAACAACAATGTATTCTCTTTAAGGCGAAGCTACTGAATTCAGTGAAATGTTGACAGCTCTTGAAACTCTGGAAAAAAAGTGTGATCCCTCGAAGCATTAATGACAACAAAATTACATGAAAATTGCAGACTCAGTTTAATTGAGTCTGTACATGAGGGATAATGAAAAAGTGCCACCATTCATTGATAATTACACAATTTATAACGACACATTTTCAATTACAAACAAATACAATTGAATGTACTTTGAATAAGTTGGAATAACACAACTGCTATCAGTAATTTAAAACGAAGACTTTTCTGAATGCTATTGGATAAGTTATTTCAGTTTTGTTTTGCAATTCTTTTAATTCATGTACATACTGTTCATATATTTATTTTTAAACGTTGGCTTCAAGCATGTTTCATTAGATAAAAGTAATAGCAATACAAAGTCCATTTTCAGAGTCAATAATCTTCCGCATTCTAACAGCTTGAGCATCTCAGTACGTAGAGGTCATCAGTATTTGAATATTGTGTAACCAACCCCTCTGCAGGTGTAGTGCTATATGAGTAGCAAAGTGTTGTTGTTGGGTCAATAGAAAATGCAACACAACGATAGCCTGTATTTCTTAGGCAAAGAAATCGACAATCGGCGACTGTGGTAGTAGAAAAGTACGAGTCCCTAAACTCACTTGACCATGTATTCGAGATAAGTTCAGCTTGAGCTTGTACCGCTACGTAACAGCCTAGAAGAGATGTATTATTTTTAGTGAATGGAAATTATTTTCCTTTCAATGTAAAAATTAACACTTTATTCTCATTGTGTATATTGATGTTAGTGAAGTTAGCCAGACAGCCGGAGCAGCCGTGACAGCCGGAACAATATTTTGTTTCGTCCGGCTGTTCCGGCTACTCCGGCTAGCCGGAATCCGGTTCCAGCTGAATCGGCTAGCCAGAGAATATACAGACAAAACCTGTGTAAAATACAATTGGTTAATTCCATAATGTAGTTTCAAATCATTTATCACCTCGATCTCTGGCTATTCCGGCTGGCCATAATACCAAAATGAAGGCTATTTAAGATGAGAAAATAATCCAGGAACAATTTTATGAGTATTTGTGTCGTGCAAATTGTGACCGTGGGACCGCTGGCAAAGGTTCGCCGCCGGGAATGCTGTAGCATTTTGCCGACGTTGAGCCGAAGATCGTACTATAAATGGTCGTTTCAACTCATACCTGGCCATTTCCGGCTAACCCCTGTGAGGTTCAGCCTCTGTTGCACAGAAACCCATATGGTGGAAAGGTTAGGGAGTTTAACCGTGATCCGCTGGCAAAGGTGTGTCCGTCGGGAATACTTTGGTATTTTGCCGACGTTGAGCCGAAAATCCTTCTATACATGGTCATTTCAACTCATATCTCGCCAATCACGGCTGCCCTCTGTGAGGCTCAGCCTCAATTGCACAGAACCCCCCATATTGTGGGATGGTTAGGGGTCTGACCGTATGTACGCTGGCATAGGTGTGTCCGTCGGGAATACTTTTGTATGTTGCCGACGTTGACCCGAACATCGTACTATACATGGTCATTTCAACTCATATTTGGCCATTTCCGGCTGACCCCTGTGAGGCCCGGCCTCAATTGCACAGAACCCCATATGGTGGGAAGGTTAGGGAGTTTAACCCCTGTGAGGCTCAGCCTCAATTGCACAGAACCCCCCTATGGTGGGATGGCAAAGGTGTGTCCGTCGGGAATGCTGTAGCATTTTGCCGACGTGGAGCCGAAGATCGTCCTATAAATGGTCATTTCAACTCATATCTCGCCTATTTCGGCTGAAACCCTGTGAGGTCCAGCCTCAGTTTCGCAGAATCTCATATATTTGGATGGTTAGGGGGACCGTGTGTTCGCTGGTTTATTTGTGTCTGCCAGAAATACTCTGGTATTTTGCTTACGTTAAGCCAAATATCAAAATATAAATGATCATTTTAGATCATATTTTAACATTTTCCTTAAATGTCCCCTGTGATACCCAGAACCAATTCCACAGAATGCCATATAGTGGAAGTGTTTATGGGGCTGACCGTGTGTTCGCGGGTATTGGTGTGTCCGTCAGGAATACTCTGGTATTTTGCCGACTTAGAGTCGAAAATCGTACAATAAATGGTCATTTCAGCTCATATCTTTGCCATTTCCGGCTGACCCCATTCTCTTTTGACCCAAAGGTTCAGTTCAACAGAAACCCATAAACTTTTATTCTTATGCACGAAAGAACAGTGGGGACATTTCAACTACATGAATTCCCGATTATATTTTTGTGATTTCACGAATTCAACTTCGTGAGTAAACGTTTTCAACATACGGAAATCACGAGATATACGATTTAAAGTTCAGAAATTCACAACTTCAACTTCATGAATTCACGATTTCAACTGCACGAGTTCATGATTTCAACTTTCAAATTTCGACTTTACGATTTTAACTTCATGAATTCATGAATTCACGATTTCAACTGCACAAGTTTACAATTTAAACTTCTCTAATTCACGATTTCAACAACAGGAATTTTCACGAAAAGTATAAAGCGTTGCACGAATAAGTTAGGAGTTACTAATAATTTATGATTGTTATCTTTACGCAGCCATGTTTAATTTTTTTATGTCTGATGATAGTTTGAAATGTCTTCTTCTTAATTTGCATTTTTTTTAAATGTCTTTCTGCGGATGTAGAGTATAGGTAAAGTGAATTCACGGTTTCAACTTTAGATGAATCCGACATTTCCTTTTAGATAGTGGTATGTTTTAAGTCATTTACATGAAAGAAGTATGTGGCCAAATAATTATCAACACAGTCAATGCCCAATCATTTTATACAATTATATAACATGCTCAACTTATTTATTGTGGTAAATCATATTTTTCTGTTTTTACACTATCAAGACATCCCACTGAAACTGTATATGGGAAATGTGTTGTGCAGCCGAAAAATGATAAAATTCATTTTAAAAATATGACCTTTTAGAAAATGATTATATATATAAATATTTGTGTTTAAAAGAAAATCATCATGCATATTTATTCTTATTTTTTTTAAATGAATTTTATCATTCATCTTGTTTGTGGTATTCCACTTAGAAAGTAACTTTGATTAATAAAAACGGAACAATGTGTTGAGAATTAGCAATCTACATAAGCGCATAATACAATCACTTTTATTGTTTAAATTTAATATATATAAGGAACGTCTCACTTTATGGAATAAAGTAAAATAGAGGAGGAGGTGATGTTATGCTGTATTTTTTTCATTTGATTCTTTCAAAATACTTTTCGTAAAATTATTATACTTTCTTGTTTATGTTATAAAAAGTTTTTAAATTATTGAAATTCAGAAATATGTAGATTATCAATTAGCCAGACCTCTGACATGTTTATTGCAATTTACGTGTCTGACACATTTATCTTTACGTCACATGTATGACAACATGATTATTATCATTAATTTTATCTACGACATTTATTTGAAGTTTTCTTATCTGATTATCTGTTTGACTTAAAGAAAGGAATTAACAGGCCGCTGACTTTTGACATCTGGCGTGTTAATCAGTCTTAATCGAACCATTTTTATTGGTCAAATCTTTAATTTTATATTTGATAAAATGTATTTTCATTGGTTAATATTTTCTTGTTTAAGGGTCATTTTTTCATTGGTTAATTATTGAAACCTTTGTTACAATTATTTTTGTATTAATAAATGAGAAGAACTTTTTGAGATAGGAGGATTCAGGCAGTCAGACACATAACATGTGACGGTTTAAGTTTAAAGTGTTAGTGCCGCAGTTTTCTGCGGTGCATTTTAATGTACATGAATATATATATATTTGTTATTTTGACCGGTCAGAACTGTTGATGTAAATATGAAAATAAAAGGAAACTATATTAAAAACAAAAAAAAAGGACTTACTGAGTTGTGTGTTTATGATGCCAAAAGGATTTTTAAATAAATACCAAAGATGAATAATTACTGAAAGATTAAACGGACTATTTCACAACTGAGTAATGTGCGACACAGAAGTGTTTTATTTGTAAGAATATCATGGCAGACGGAAACCTACCCCTACCTACCCCCTCCAGTACCAACTGTGAAACCCCCGCACCACAAATGTCTGTAAATACAAAGACTTGTTATATAATAGATTCCGGAGGGGGGGGGAGGGGGGGGGGGTGCAGGCGGGGGTGACATTCAACAGTTAGTATATGTTAAGGTTAGGTTTATCAATGATAACGAGTCTTGCTGTAAAGGCCTCAACAGACGGTAGGATATTGAAGTACAACACCAATTAAAACTAAGATGTACAGACAAATATTAATGTGTGAAGGCTACTATTTCTTGATTTCGGAAACCTTATGTCTAGATGTAAGGGATAGGACATGTTCTATCTTGAAAATCTTGTCGTACCGATTTTTATAGACCTCCCACAATGACAAGTAACAGATAACCAAATTATCTCCTGATAATGGGTGTAATGAATGAAATTCCAGAACAATTAGGGCTAAACGTTAAACATAGTAGTAAGATGGGGTAAAAATGATGTTGAAAAACTCTTCAGGAGTCCCAAAGTTGTGTTATGTTCGAATCCCAAATTATTCCGAAAATGATTATGTCACTGTATTGAATTGTTCTCTTATTAGGAGAGGGGAGGTAGTTTGTAGGCGACCAGATAGCTTAGTCAGCAGAGCCGCAGTACGGTTTTCCGAGGGTCCCAGGTTTAAGTCTCCGTCAGGCTTCACATTAAAAAAAAAAAAAAAAAAAAAAAAAAAAAAAAAATATAATATATATATACATATATATATATATTTTAATTTTTTCTTCTTTTTTTAATGGAGGTGTTTCAATCATTACTCATGGCGAAAAAGTATTTAGTGAGTAAAGTACATGTATGTAAAGGATCAATGTAAAGAGATCCTTTGTAGGGGAAACCTCAGATGATTCTTACAGTGTAGAATTACCGTCTGAATGCAAGTGTTTTATAGATTCGAAAATTGTACATCTTATCTCTAATTAGTTCTGTACAACTAAATTCTACCGTCTGTTGAGGCCTTAAGATGAAGATACAAACTTTTAAAATGAAATCAAATACATGTACGATGTTATTCTATTCATTTTAAGCTGATCTTGTTAACCTTCTCTATTAAGCTTTTTCCTTTAATTATTATCTAATTTTCATTTTTTAATATGATCAATACAAATCATTACAGGCATATATTAAACGGGTACTTTGGTATTTGTGTAATTTTTCAATAACTATTTTCATGTGGTTTGTTACAATTATGTCGAAGTGAAGAGCACCATGAACAAACTAAAAAGGAAAAATCAAGAATACAAAATTGATTTTTCAGAATTAAGAAATTAAGAAGAATTCAAACGATGTTATATAGAGGACAGAAAGGGGTGGGCTGGAGATAAACTAAGGTAAAAACCCTCAATTAAGACAAACATCGTGACTGAACCAAAGTGGTCGTTGGTCAGGGTTGGTCTTAATTGTTGATATTCTTAGCTTAAATACTTTATGACCATGACTCTATTACCTACAAATACAAAGTATGTTATAATATTTAATCTGATTAGAGCTAAACAAATTTCAGAAGAAAAGCTTATTCAGTAAAAACCCTCGATTTAGACCACCATCGGGACTGGACTAAAGTGGTCTTAATTGCGGGGTGGTCTTAATTGTGAATATTCTTATCATTTCTTACGAACTTTATGACAATGGTCTATTTTAGTCATTTTGTTTGAACAAGCAATATGTATCTTAACATGCAAATACAATATAATGTTACATCTGATGAAAAGAAAACATATTTCTGAAGAAATTAAATATCAAATTCTATTTAGCCTGATTTCAATATCAATTATTATATGATGTAAAAAATTCATTCATCAAATAAAACAATAAATTTTTCGAAAACTCTATATGCTTAAGCAACATTAAACCACTTTAAAATCTATTTTCTCATCTTATTTCATACAATGTCCCCCAAAATATAAGGTGTTTTGACACCTTGTGAAATCAAGTATCATGCCCAAGAACATTCAAGCAGATGGTTACAACATAACAACAAATTTTAGGTTTAGGTGGGTGTTGACTTTAAATCAGTGCTCTCAATAGTAGTAGTAGTAGTAGTGGTGGTAGTGGTAGTGGTAGTAGTAGTGGTGGTGGTAGTAGTGGTTGTAGTGGTGGTGGTAGTAGTAGTAGTAGTGGTAGTGGTAGTGGTAGTGGTAGTAGTAGTAGTAGTAGTAGTAGTAGTAGTAGTAGTAGTGGGGTCAAATAAAAAACAAAACAAATAATTTGGACATAATTTGGTGATCTTAAAAATGGATAAGCGGTCTTAATGCTGCATCATGTAACCATTGACATAAAGAACAGAAAATTCCGTTCTTATAAAAGGTCTTCATAGCGGGTTGGTCTTAATACCGGGGTGGTCTTGAGTAGAGATTCTACTGTATAAAATTCAATTTGGTCTGATTTAAATATTAATTATTGTATGATGTGCATAATTCATCTATCATATAAGAAATGAACTCTTTGCACATATAATGTGCCGAAAGCAAAATTAAACATCAGAGGTCTCAATATATAGTGGGTTTAAAAAAAGATTAAAATAAGGAATTTAGGACTGAATCTGGTGGTTTTTAAAGTGGATAAGCAGGGTGATCTTAATTCTGAATCAAGTAACCATTGACATAAAGAGCAGAAAATACTGTTCTTTTAATTAAATGGTCTAAATAGCAGAATGGTCTTAATTCCGGGATGATCTTAACAACAGAGACTCTACTGTATGAAGTACATGTAGAATATGCCTCGGATAGCACGGCAGTTTGAACAAGGAAACTATAAAATAAAAATATTTTAGAAAATTGCCTGCTTTCCTCAAACATTGGTCTATTTGATTCATCATTATATAATTTAATATATGGGCATGGTGAATGCTCTATTCAATCATGAAAAACCGCGTAATGCTCAGCGTTGATGTATCTAATTGACAAAGTCGTCTCCCTTTAAATATTATCACCATTTGTAATTCAGTATAAATTTAGTTTTAGAGTGTTATTTAAAATTTACAAATAAAAATCACATTTCAGATTATATCAGATAGTTGAGCTTCTAAATATCTTTATGTGCTATGTATCAAGTTTCAGAGCTTAGAATCAAGTTTCAAATGACTGGGAAAAAATGCGGGAAAACTCATCAAAATAATATTATTTGCAAATATGTCGTTATCTTCTGTTTAAGAAAATTTCTAATTTACACAATTTAACAAAAATGATAAAAGGGAGTGACACAACAGTAATGAAAAATTATTAACATATAAGGAGGCAGGATACCAGAGTATTCCCGACGGACACACCTATACCCGCGGACACCCGGACACACCATGGACGACTCTCATTTTCTGAGAATATGTCTGATTTTTTTTCATCTGAAGTACTCTTGATTTCGGTTATTCTAGCTAGCCTGAAGAGCCAAGTATCGATGTGATACGTAATGTGAAACTTCATCATTAAATAAATGAATGGTCTCTTGCACAGGATTTACTGTAACATTTCTGGCTAGCCTGTTCAGCCGGAACCGGATTCCGGCTAGCCGAAGTAGCCGGAACAGCCGGACTTAACGAAAATTTGTTCCGGCTGCTCCGGCTGTCCGGCTGTCTGGCTAACTTCACGCACATCGTTATCTTCTGTTTAAGAAAATTTCTAATTTACAAAGGTCAGATTTCACAAATGAACAAAAATGATAAAAGGGAGAGACATAACATTAATGAAAAAATATTAACATATAAGGAGGCAGGATACCAGAGTATTCCCGACGGACACACCTTTACCCGCGGACACCCGGTCAGACCCCCTAACCATCCCACCATATGCGGTTCTGCGGAATTGAGTCTGGTCCCCACAGGGGCCAGCCGGAATTGGCTAGATATGAGCTGTCTAGTACGATTTTCGGCTCAACGTCGGCAAAATACCAGAGTATTCCCGACGGACACACCTATACCCGCGGACACCCGGTCAGACCCCCTAACCATCCCACCATATGCGGTTCTGTGGAATTGAGTCTAGTCCCCACAGGGGCCAGCCGGAACTGGCCAGATATGAGCTGTCAAGTACGATTTTCGGCTCAACGTCGGCAAAATACCAGAGTATTCCCGACGGACACACCTATACCCGCGGACCCCCGGTCAGACCACCTAACCATCCCACCATATGCGGTTCTGCGGAATTGAGTCTGGTCCCCACAGGGGCCAGCCGGAATTGGCCAGATATGAGCTGTCTAGTACGATTTTTGGCTCAACGTCGGCAAAATACCAGAGTATTCCCGACGGACACACCTTTACCCGCGGACACCCGGTCAGACCCCCTAACCATCCCACCATATGCGGTTATGCGGAATTGATTCTGGTCCCCACAGGGGCCAGCCGGAATTGGCCAGATATGAGCTGTCTAGTACGATTTTTGGCTCAACGTCGGCAAAATACCAGAGTATTCCCGACGGACACACCTTTACCCGCGGACACCCGGACACACCATGGATGACTCTCATTTTCTGAGAATATGTCTGATTTTTTTCATCTGAAGTACTCTTGATTTCAGTTATTCTAGCTAGCCTGAAGAACCAAGTATCGATGTGATACGTAATGTGAAACTTCATCATTAAATAAATGAATGGTCTCTTGCACAGGATTTACTGTAACATTTCTGGCTAGCCTGTTCAGCCGGAACCGGATTCCGGCTAGCCGGAGTAGCCGCAACAGCCGGACTTAACGAAAATTTGTTCTGGCTGCTCCGGCTGTTCCGGCTGTCCGGCTAACTTCACGCACATGTATATTGAACATATTAGATATTAAAGGTATGTTGTAATAAAAATACTAGATGGGTTGACCTATAAATTATGTAATATGTATATATAATATCATAACTGAACATGTTTTATAGAAATATTTTCAGAATGATTATATATACATTTAGAAGGATAGACACGCGCAATACCCTTATGTTCTAGATAAGTAAACTGTAAGTCTTATGAAAATAAATGAGCCGCGTCACGGCAAAACCAACATAATGGGTTTGCGACCAGCATGGTTCCAGACCAGCCTACGCACAGGCTGGTCTGGATCCATGCTGGTCGCAAACCCATTATGTTGGTTTTGTCGTGACGCAGCTCAACTAATTAAAACGTAAACAAGAGAGTAATTCAACTTCTGTTTACTTTTGTAGTTGACCGCTAGACATTGTTTTAGACAAAGTGTTAAAATAAAGAGTAATTAAGGATCCCTAAAGAATGCACAAACGACATAATATGTAATAGAAAATGTTGCAGACTTAGTGCTTTGTGCCTGTTCATGAACGGTAAAGGAACATGCAAGTTACCGTTCACGCCCACATCGGCTGAGGCATTATTTAACATTGATAAACAACTCACCAGTTCCAGATTGTTCACACTCTGAAGCTGTCTGAAAACAGTTATTGTTTGCCATGCATAATGGTGGTATTAAGGCTTTTTTTTGAAAAATGAAAAGAATACAAATAATTAGAACATTAAGTTGATAGCATAGTGGAAATGACACAGTTTACAGATATCAAATACATGTATATACACATATACAAAATGTGTCAAAATCATTTTAAAACACATATGAAACACTTAATAATTGTATTATTATCGTAAAAATTAGTCAAGATTTCACCTTGAACGTGATATTCTATGCATCTGAGCATCTGAGTAGCTTTAATTTTTCATTTATTCATTTTTTTCAATTGATAATTGTTGATAGATATTACAGATTGATTGCGTAAGTTATCTTTCAATATGAGAAATTATATGAATGTTTCTTCATATTATAAATATGTATTTTCTTTACTAATTTATATTGTACATTTAGATCTTGTATTTATATAAACTGTATATATGATCTTTTGTACGAACTTTAATAAGTGTATTATATTCAATATTATTTTAATGCTCTTCAGTTATGGAGGAAATAAAGAATAAAGATTGATTATAAAATGCTCACGTTACAGTAAATGATAGATATTCTATGTCCATCGTGTAAATAAACAAATTTAGAAAAAATATCTATCAGAAAACATTTTGTGTTAATTGATATTCAAACTCTTAATAACATGTAGCTGTAGTATTCTGTGAATTCAAAGATACCTGTTTCACAATTCCTTCCAGAGAATCCTTCTGGACATATACAGGTATAATTGTTGACTCCGTCAATGCATGTACCGTCATTAAGACAGGAATTGTTGTAACAGTCATTTATATCTTGAAAAATGAAATTAAAATCAAATCTTTTAAATATATATACATGCGGAGAAACTTCAAATTTAAAAAAGTAACATTAAACAACCAACATAAACGAAATTCGGACAATTCATTTTTACCAGTCAGTCGCCCTATTGTCATATATTGTCCGAAATTTAATGTAATGCCAATCTATAAATAAAAAATAACAAATCAGAATTACTGTCTTTTGATATCAATTTAATCAGACGAGGCTGATATGTGCTAGAAAACACAGACACTTGGGGTGTGGAGCTCAAAACGCCTTTAAAATCCAAATAAAAAGTATATTTGTCAATCCCAGCACATGTACTGATCATATATATCAAAACTAGATAAAATACAGGGTGATTATGACGGTAGGGTGCGGATTTTTTCCGGCGAACATTTTTATCTTGTGTATTATTATAGATGTTGAAATATGATTTTTTTCAAAACGGCTTATATTAAGTTTTTTGATATATATGATCAGTACATGTGCTGGGATTGACAAATATGCATTTTATTTGGATTTTAAAGGCGTTTTGAGCTCCAAACCCCAAGTGTCTATGATCTTTTGTACGAACTTTAATAAGTGTGTTATATTCAATATTATGTTAATGCTCTTCAGTTATGGAGGAAATAAAGAATAAAGATTGATTATAAAATGCTCACGTTACAGTAAATGATAGATATTCTATGTCCATCGTGTAAATAAACAAATTTAGAATTCAAGTGTCCTTATCTGTCAGAAAACATTTTGTTATTTGATATTGAAACTCTTAATAACATGTAGCTGTAGTATTCTGTGAATTCAAAGATACCTGTTTCACAATTCCTTCCAGAGAATCCTTCTGGGCATATACAGGTATAATTGTTGACTCCGTCAATACATGTACCGTCATTAAGACAGGAATTGTTGTAACAGTCATTTATATCTTGAAGAATGAAATTAAAATCAAATATTTTAAATATATATACATGCAGAGAAACTTCAATTTTAAAAACCGAGTAACATTAAACAACCAACATAAACGAAATTCGGACAATTCATTTTTACCAGTCAGTCGCCCTATTGCCATATATTGTCCGAAATTTAATGTAATGCCAATCTATAAATAAAAAATAACGAATCAGAATTACTGTCTTTTGATATCAATTTTATCAGACGAGGCTGATATGTGCTAGAAAACACAGACACTTGGGTTGTGGAGCTCAAAACGCCTTTAAAATCCAAATATTTTATTTGGATTTTAAAGGCGTTTTGTGCTCAACACCCCAAGAGTCTATGCTAGAAAAGGGCGAGGCTTATCAATTAAAAATTAAAATCAATAACAAATTCCCCTTCTATTGTATGTTATAATGCCTCTTTAAAATGTAATAAAAGTTCCGTTCGTTCCTTTACATAGTTTTCCCTATTGCGCTATCAAATAATATCAAACTGACCTAGCTTAAACACATTTTAATTGCCTTGCTTAAGGTTAATTACCTAAGTGTTTTTGCAGCCATTTATATATTATAAAAGTTATTTTTCCCTAAGTTAGTAACTTGTTCATCATCTTTCTTCAAAATTGAAATTATTGTAACTTTAAACATCTTAAATGATTAAATTTTATTGCTGTCTTCACATGAGTGATTTTGTCAGTTATGATGCTTTTGATATATATCAAGAGGTCAGTTTGAACGTGATATTCTATGCATCTAAGTAGCTTAAAATATTCAATTATTCATTTTTCCAATTGTTGACAATTGTTGGTAGATATCACAGATTCATTGCATTAGTTAACTTTCAATATGAGTAAATATATGAATATTTGTACTGTTATAAATATGCCTTTTCTTTACTCATTTATATTGTACATTTAGATCTTGTATTTATATAAACTGTATATATGATCTTTTGTACGAACTTAAATAAGTGTGTTATATTCAATATTATGTTAATGCTCTTCAGTTACGGAGGAAATAAAGAATAGATTGATTATAAAATGCTCACGTTACAGTAAATGATACATATTCTATGTCCATCGTGTAAATAAACAAATTTAGAATTAAAGTTTCCTCATCTGTCAGAAAACATATTGTTATTTGATATTCAAACTCTTAATAACATGTAGCTGTAGTATTCTGTGAATTCAAAGATACCTGTTTCACAATTCCTTCCAGAGAATCCTTCTGGGCATATACAGGTATAATTGTTGACTCCGTCAATACATGTACCGTCATTTAGACAGGAATTGTTGTAACAGTCATTTATATCTTGAAAAATGATATTAAAATCAAATCTATTAAATATATATACATGCGGAGAAACTTCAAATTTAAAAAAGTAACATTAAACAACCAACATAAACGAAATTCGGACAATTCATTTTTACCAGTCAGTCGCCCTATTGTCATATATTGTCCGAAATTTAATGTAATGCCAATCTATAAATAAAAAATAACGAATCAGAATTACTGTCTTTTGATATCAATTTAATCAGACGAGGCTGATATGTGCTAGAAAACACAGACACTTGGGGTGTGGAGCTCAAAACGCCTTTAAAATCCAAATATAATGTATATTTGTCAATCCCAGCACATGTACTGATCATATATATCAAAACTAGAACTGTGTCCAAAGAACACGGATGCCCCCCCCCCCCACAGTGCAGATGTGCACCGGTTTAAGAGGAGTTGCATTCACAAAATATGGTATATAGTATAAAAAAAATAAAGGGTCATAATTCTGTTAAATTTGGTCGCAGAAAAAATTCCTTCCTCTACTTCCATCTACACATTAAGGTTGTTCATCCCTGGAAATTTAAGCAAAATCTGTCATCCGGTTTAAGAGAAGTTGCGTTCACAAAATTTCTTTATGGTATAAAGTAAAAAAATCAACAAAGGGCCATAATTCTGTTCAATTTGGTTGCAGCAAAAATTCCTTCCTTTACTACCATCTACACATTAAGGTTGTTCATCCCTGGAAGTTTAAGCAAAATCTGCCATCCGGTTTAAGAGGATTTGCCTTCACAAGATTTCGGGACGTACGGACAGACGTACGGACGGACGTTCCAACATTTTGGGTTTAGGGGCTATTTTCTTTGTTATTTTCTTTGTGTTCTTAAGGGCTACTAGCCCATAAACCCTTTGATCACGGAATTAACCTATTGTTCTCTTTTCTTCCCCTTACTGTTATATAGCCCCTAAACCCAAAATGACGTATGGACGGACGGACAAGTGCAACGCTATATGCTCCCCACTTTGTGGGAGCATAAAAACTTAATATAAGCCGTTTTGAAAAAAAAAATCATATTTCAACGTCTATAATGAAAAATTATTATATCGAAAGCTGGGGCCGCGTTTGAATTTATTGAAATATTTTGTAAATGTAGTAAAACGGCGATAATCTTGATGTTTATTTCGGCTGTTGCGTTGTTTATATTACCGTTGAAGTTTAAAATTGACCATCGTGAAGAATAATATCTTCTGTGTTGATGGACCAAAGGATTATGTGAAAAAATTGGAAATGGAATAAAATACAGGGTGATTATGACGGTAGAGGTGCGGATTTTTTCCGGAGAACATTTTTATCTTGTGTATTATTATAGAAGTTGAAATATGATTTTTTTTTCAAAACGGCTTATATTAAGTTTTTTGATATATATGATCAGTACATGTGCTGGGATTGACAAATATGCATTTTATTTGGATTTAAAAGGCGTCGTTTTGAGCCCCACACCCCAAGTGTCTTTGCTAGAAAAGGGCGAAGCTTATCAATTAAAAATTTAAAACCAATAACAAATTCCCCTTCTATTTTATGTTATAATGCCTCTTTAAAATGTAATAAAAGTTCCGTTCCTTTACATAGTTTGCCCTATTGCGCTATTATATTTTATCAAACTGTCCTAGCTTAAACACATCTTAATCGCCTTGCTTAAGGTTAATTGCTTAAGTGTTTTTGCAGCCATTTATATATTATAAAAGTTATTCTTCCCTAAGTTAGTAACTTGTTCATCATCTTTCCTCAAAGTTGAAATTATTGTAACTTTAAACAACTTAAATGATTTAAATTTTATTTCTCCCTTCACATGAGTGCATGATTTTGTCAGTTCTGATGCTCTTCATTATATATAAATCGTAAAAATTAATCAAGAGTTCACTTTGAACGTGATATTCTATGCATCTTGGTAGCTTACAATATTCATTTATTCATTTTTCCAATTGTTGACAATTGTTGATAGATATCACTGATTCATTGCATTAGTTAACTTTCAATATGAGTAAATATATGAATATTTGTACATATTATAAATATGCCTTTTCTTTACTAATTTATATTGTACATTTAGATCTTGTATTTATATAAACTGTATATATGAACTTTTGCACAGACACTTGGGGTTTGGAGCTCAAAACGCCTTTAAAATCCAAATAAAATGCATATTTGTCAATCCCAGCACATGTACTGATCATATATAACAAAAAACTTAATATAAGCCGTTTTGTAAAAAAATCATATTTCAACATCTATAATAATAAACAAGATAAAAATGTTCGCCGGAAAAAATCCGCACCTCTACCGTCATAATCACCCTGTATTTTATTCCATTTCCAATATTTTCACATAATCCTTCGGTGCATCGACACACAAGATATAATTCTTCACGATGATGGTCAATTTTAAACTTCAACGGTAATATAAACAACACAACAGCCGAAATAAACATCAAGATTATCGCCGTTTTCCTCCATTGACAAAATCTTTCGATAATTTCAAACGTGCCAGTCGGCTATGAACGAAGCCATCTGATTATGTGGTTCCCAAACTAAAAAGCGCTGCGCATTTTGCACACGGAAAAGCTGGGGCCACGTTTGAATTTATCGAAAGATTTTGTCAATGGAGAAAAACGGCGTCTGTGCTAGAATATATATATATATATATGATCAGTACATGTGCTGTGCTGGGATTGACAAATATGCATTTTATTTGGATTTTAAAGGCGTTTTGAGCTCCACACCCCAAGTGTCTGTGCTAGAAAAGGGCGAGGCTTATCAATCAAAAATTTGAAACCAATAACAAATTCCCCTTCTATTGTATGTTATTATGCCTCTTTAAAATGTAATAAAAGTTCCGTTCCTTTACATAGTTGCCCTATTGCGCTATCAAATTTTATCAAACTGACCTAGCTTAAACACATCTTCATCGCCTTGCTTAAGGTTAATTGCTTAAGTGTTTTTGCAGCCATTTATATATTATAAAAGTTATTCTTCCCTAAGTTAGTAACTTGTTCATCATTTTTCCTCAAAATTGAAATTATTGTAACTTTAAACAACTTAAATGAATTAAATTTTATTTCTGCCTTCACATGAGTGATGTTGTCAGTTCTGATGCTCTTGATTATATATCGTAAAAAATTAATCAAGATTTCATTTTGAACGTGATATTCTATGCATCTTAGTAGCTTAAAATATTCATTTATCCATTTTTCCAATTGTTGACAATTGTTGATAGATATCACAGATTCATTGCATTAGTTAACTTTCAATATTAGTAAATATATGAATAATTGTACATATTATAAATATGTCTTTTCTTTACTCATTTACATTGTACATTTAGAGCTTGTATTTATATAAACAGTATATAATAATATGATCTTTTGTACGAACTTTAATAAGCATTTTATTTATATTCAATGTTATGTTAATGCTCTTCAGCTATGGAGGAAATATTTAATAATGATCGATTATAAAATGTACTAACCTGTTTTGCAACAAGCACCTGTATACCCAGAGTCTCCACAGTCGCAGTTTATGCCACTTAATTTGCTTTTTATATAACACTGTGTGTTTTCCCGACAGCAACCTGTTTAGAAAAAAAGGTATTTCAAAGAATGCAAAAAGAAAAAAAATGGGTCTTATGTACTCTAACAATTGTATGTTCATTAATATTATTCTAATATATAGTATTTCAGTCGTACATGAAGGTCGATCATAAAAGTAAAGGTATACATATATTTATTGAACTTAAAACTATACTGAAGGCACTATGGCCAACTCGGCGGAAAAAACTACAACAATAAAGGATTCCTTAAAGATCCAGTAACACCTTTTTTTATGGTTTTACTTCGTGAATATGATCCTCAAATTAAAATTTGTCAATATTGTAAGTTCTAGTAAGCATTATTTATCAAGATATTACCGACTTTAAACTTTCATGTAAATAAAGGGAGGTAATTAGAAATTTATTTAGTCAAATTTTCCAATAAGAAATGAATGCATATAATTTATTGATTAAATATAATGTGCACAAATATTTGCAGTACACATTTTACATATTCTTCGATGTTTGAAAATTGTTTTATTTGCATAATTATATACATATTTAATTTTTTGCAAATGTGGTATACAAACAGTAACAATTTCAATCACAAAACATACAGGATCTTAAAAAGCAACTGAAATTCAAATAAGTTGATGGCATTTCGTTCCAGTATAATAAGGCGTGTCCATTAGATTGTTTCGAACGCAGAACATTATGATTACTCTTTCGGAAACGACGCTTTATTTTCATTTTTTTCATAGATATATATCATTTTTCAAAATATATCTTGTTCATATTTTACTTTTTATATCAATGTACTTACATGGGTAACATTTCATCTGTGCTTTTGCACTCCCTTTACCATAGCCTGGCCGAAGACATGCGTAGCCGTCTGGACACTGTTTAGATTCACCAAATTTCGAATAAATAACAGGTTCTTAAAAAACTTGTCATTACTTGCAACAATCTTTTAAATATAATGCATTTATCTGGATTTACAGTTTACCTTTATAGAAAAAGAATTGAAAATAAACTAGATAAAGAAAATTATGCATTGAATATGTGAGCATTTGTAATAAGTACCTGTAAATCAGTTTCACAATTTTGTAGGTATGGACCACTACAATCAGCATTCTGAATAATCGTTATCGCCAAAACAATCTGAAATCATTTTATTACACTAAAATAGCTTCATTAGGTAACCATTGCTCATATTTGCAACGTTAACATATATGTGAGATGTTTTCAATTCATTTTTAATTTAAATATGTTCTTATCAGTTTTCACGAGGAAAACAATATTATGTTTTACGAATTAAGGCAATACAAATCAGCAAATCAAAATTGCTTATGTTAAGAAAACTCGTGGGGCAATCCTTTTGTCAAATATGTTATACCACTGAATTGTTACTGTCTTTACATGCATGTTTCTTTTAATTTTTTGGCAACAAAGAATTTTTAAAACAAAGAAATTAAAATATTGCTTACATTGATAAGTAGGGACATTGTCTGCATCATCAGGTGGATATCTGAATCACAATATACATGTATACTATTAATTTATTACAATTTTAATTCGTACAATTTATTAGCCAACTTAACAACAGTAGATAGTAAAACTACTTTGTCTGATACAATTATGCCGCACAGAGGGGTCAGTGACTCAGAAAACATGCATGATTTAAAGAATAAACTATTGTTAGAATGAAATAAATAAATAAATAAGGAGTAAATAGGCAGAAGTGGATTTTCTAGATGAAAATAAACAGAATTAGAAATCTGTGTGAACAATATAGCTGTCATTTAGGCATTTTCTTCACTGCTCTAACAATGTACATGTACCTTTAATTTTAGTAGCAAACAATGTTACATATGGATTAATAAAAATGTTATATTATCAAAAATAAAAAAGACATGGAAAGTTTTACACTGACAAATCAAATGGAGTACTCTATGATGGATTCTTAAGCACTGCACTTCAGGTCGATGAAAAAAGCTAACATACCAAATTTGGATTAAATCAAATTTATAGTGACCAAGTTATGCTCTGGACAAGCCTTTTAAGTAAGAAAATTAACAAAGGGTAATAATTCAAAAATAATGAAGTGCAGAGTACAAGTTCTTGTGCACTGCACTTCTACTCAATGAGATCTATCATCCTATGAAAGTTCAAGTCAATTTATAGCTTTTAAAGTGTAGGCGTATTGGCCTGGACAAAAATAAAGTTAGAAAATTAACAAAGGGCAATAATTCAAAAATCATGGAGTACACAGTACCAGTTTTTGTGCAGTGCACTTTATCTCAATGATATCTATTATCCTATTATGTTTCATGTCTATAGTTTGTATACTTTAGGAGAAATAAATAACAAGGACAAAAATAAAGTATGAAAAATAACAAAGGGCAAAACCTCAAAAAATAAGAAGTGCAGAGGACCAGTTATTGTACACTGCACTTAGCTTTTATACTTAAGGAGAAATGACCCTGACAATAATAAAGTATGAAAATTGACAAAGGGCGATAAATAAAAAAAAGAAGAAGTGCAAAGTACCGGTTCTTGTGCACTGCACTTCTTCTTAATGAGATCTATTATCCTATAAAGTTTCAAGTCCATAGCTTTTATACTTTAAGAGAAATGACCCGGACAATAATAAAGTATGAATATTGACAAAGGGCGATAAAAAAAAAGAAGTGCAAAGGACTGGTTCATGTGCACTGCTCTTCTTCTTAATGAGATATATCTAGAATCGATTTTTTTTTAATGTATGGGTAAATTTCATTCTCAGTGGTTGGAATTTGATTTTCCCCTTTTCTGATTTATCAAGCTTTATTTTCCTCTTCAGAAAGCCACAAAAATCACTGCCACCATGATAATTGTTAACCTGAAAAATCTTCAGGCACTGAAAGGGATTTGAACCCCAGACCTCTTGTTTACAAGGCAGACACACAACCATGTTGCGAAAATGTCACCACAAAAGCAAGGCTGTTTGAAATGATCTATACCCGTCTTCACTTCATGGTTAAAGTAATTTAATCAGTGCTGATATTCACATTTTTATCACATATCTACATGTAATAAATAAATATCATAATAAAATGATAAGAACATTTTCTATTTTAGTTGTAATATTGTAGAGCAATATGAAGAAATATTATGATCATAAATTTTCAAATTTTATGTCATTACATGCTGTACACAATCATATTATAGTGTACACATATATAATATAGATTGTATATTCACATATAGATTGTATATACACATACTATGAGAGTAGTATAAGATAATTTTAAAGATGATATCTTTAAATTGATATTTTCAGGGAAATAAAAGAGCATTTACTCCAATATTCACTTGGAAAAGCTGGTACAATGTAGCTAGAAAAAAGTATAAGATTAAAAAACGACAAGAAGATGATCACAAACAACAGGTTCTTGTATAATATTTGATGTATATTTCACAAATCAAACTGTTATCAAAAAATTATTCATGAAAACATAATTATGCCTTTTTACCAGTGTCACCACTGGCCAGATTACCAGACCCATTCCCAGTGGCAAATAATGCCAAGTATGCTTATTTTTTCCAAGTTTAGAAAAAAATCATAATCGAGTTAAAATTCCCGTTATCAAAGCTGACAATTTTTCTTCATTCCATTTCAATCCAATATGGTACAAGACAGATGATGTTCAAAAACACATTTCATTGTCATTTTTTATGTGAATGATGATTAACAACTTTGTACATGGTACTGAATATTTTTCCCAATTAAGATGCAAAATTTCCTAACCTGTGCTAGGAATTTTTCCCAAAATGTCTAGGAAAAGGCTTGAAACTGAAATTGTTTAGTTTGCATTTCTAATCTACATAATGAAATAGTCCAAGACTTGTTCATATATAGTACCGCCTAAAATAAAAGAGTGTCAGTTGCATGCTCACAGTTTATTATAGTGTTAGTTAAGAACATACTTCAAAAATTTCTGTCCATTGGCATTAAGATACTGCCTATGACAGTCTTTTTCCTTTGCTGAAAATGATCACTTACATGAAATATTGTATGGTGTTTTAAGGTGGTACATACAAATCAATCCTACAGGGCATTACAAGGAACTGCAAAATTTACAATACTGTTTTGTTGCCTTGAACAAGACCTCAATATTTATGCAAAATTAACAATAAAGTTCATCCTTATGAACATTGTTTACATTTTGATTATTCAAGATTGAAAGAAATGAAAATATTCAATAGCAAAGCACAGCTGTGAAGTGATTGTTTCCCCACCAAATGATTTAAATATGTATAAAAATGTTTCCCTACCCTTTGATTGACTTTTTTTCTGCTTAGTGTGCCTTGATTGCTAAGATCTGCTTTTTAAAGACAGGCTGTTTTTAAAGATTGAAGGGATATTCATATTGGTTATTAAACTAACCATAATTTACATTTATGTGTAGCCAATAAATAATTATACCTTCAATTGTATGCTGTCTAAACAAATTAATTGTATATTGTCTGAACATATGTGACAGAAAAAATATACCAAAAAGGAATTCAGTATTACTATGAGTATTTATTAAAGAAATTGTATTTCAAATATATTTGAATAGTATTATTGAAAGTCATTTTCTGTAACAGACACACAAATCTAGTGCTCTAGCTGCATTATAAATGTATGAAGGGACAAATAAGATAAGCATTTTTTTCAAATTATTGCACTTCATTTATAATTGTTATTGCATTTTTTTAATGTGGACATGTGTCACTGTCAAGCAAATGAAGATTTGCACCACAGTCTGTGGGAATCTCCTGTTTCCAGATGTAGTGATCATAACTGTATAGGCACCAATATGAACACTTGTGACTAGTTGGACTATTTTAGAGGGGTAGTCTGAGTTCGGTCTTCAGTTGAATCCCCTGTCAATAGTAAAGGGCCAGTCATGAACATTGTGTTGAAGGAAAATGTTAAATCTACTTTTTTTGGCTTCAAACAAAACCATGACACTTACCCAACAGTGATAAATCAAACCAATTCTTATATTTTGACTGTTTTCACCAAAAGTTTGTTTCCATGAATTGAAGCTCCTGGGACTTGTGTAACATATGACTGCGCATTCCAAAATTTATTAAAATATTGTGTACAGTAATGTTTAGCAATGTTGTGTAAATACATTCAGAGCTAGCATACTTCATAAGTTATAACATGTATCTTAGCTTGCCTGGTTTAATGAAAAGTAATAAACCTGAGAATTGAAACTAGAATAAATTGTTGTTATTAGTCCCCTTCTGTTATCACCAAGAGGAGACTAAAGGCTGACCCCTTTCTGTATGTCAATGAAATCTGAATTCTGATATTACTCAAAATCATCGTACTGGTATCTGACATAGAACCATGCAGAGATTTAACATGTTATTATAATTTATGCTCTCCAAAAGGGAGAGAATACAGTTGCAGTCTTAACCATCTGTCTGCATGGACTCAATTAATATAATGGATAAATTTCCGTGTTCATTCTAATGATTCTATACATACTTGTACTTGTGGGGAACTTGTACTTGTGGGGAAGCCATGGGAGGAAAATAATTTATTATGTTTCTTATGGTGTTTTTGAGATTTTAGATGATTAAAGAAAAAAACCCACATTGTGAACTTTCAAAAATGTAGATAGACAGCGATCCTTCACACTCTTGTCCTAAATATGAATGTAACTAGATACGTATTGATGGGATTTTATGTAAACTTCACAAAGTTATAGAGACTTTTGAGAGGAAGTGCGGTGTTCAAGAAACATAACTCTACCTTGCTTCATGTTTTAATTATCTCTCTTAAGTTAAAAATGCTTACTTCAAACTATCACTGAAAATACTCCCTGTTGTACAGACTTGAATTTGCAAAAGTGTCAAAGAACCATAACTGCATTCCTTAGTTTTTTAATTATCTCCCTTTTTAATACATTTACTTAATTCTGCTTGCCATGAGGGAAATACCGGAAAAGAGTTGATGGAATTTGATTAAAATTTTACACAGCGAAAACATTCAAGTGAAAGGAAGTGTATTTTCAAAGAGCCATAATTTTTCCTAGCTTAATTTTACAATTATCATCTCTTATAATACATCAACATTTAAAATATTGGTTGTCTAGAGCAAATCTTTTCAATGATATCTCCCTCAAACTAAATACAGTTGTAGAGACTAGTGAGCAGAAGTGCTGTGTCAAATAACCAAAATTCTACATTACTTAGTTTTTGAATGTTCAGAGAGAGGATTAAAATATTGAAGGAATTTGATTGAAACTTCATACAGTGAAAGAGATTAGCATGAGAAGTGCAGTGAACACTTTAAAGCCATCATAAGTTCTAATGACATGGCCACATTCATATAATGTGATGCAAAAATACTGACCATTTGAGTGTTTTCTTGATACTGATACAGAAAATTTTATATATTTATACCACAATTAATATTTTTCTCATAGCTTTGTCTCCCTTTATTTTGTCATGTGTTAAAAAAGTCGAGCTTGCAGTTTAAACGTCCCAACTGCAGGGCCTTCAGCACTTTGATTTAACATAAGCTATCCATGGGGAGTGATATACGTTTTGACGGTCCAAATCAAACATTAGTTTGTACATAATATTACATACTTTATCAGGTTTTGAATTAATGATTTTGCACCAAAAATTTAGGACTCTACATTTTATGACACAATCAATTGGAAGAGTACCAAGCTCCCCAAATACCATAACAATAGGAGTGGACTTTTGGACATTCCTTATGAGTTTAAGATATTTCAACTGAAATTGCTTTACAATATCAATGTTACCTACACCCCACACTTCTACACCATATAACAAAATAGTGACCATGGAGTCAAAAAGTTGTAATTGTAAATCTATATCAAGACAAAGAGTTCGGGATTTTTTAAGTACAGCAAACATAGCTTTTCTAGCTTGGTCACACAGGTATTTAGTAGTTTTATTGAACTTACCATTGAAATTAAACTTAACACCTAAGTAGCTAAAATCCTCAACAATATCAAGTATGGCATTGTTAAAGTAAAAAGAAAGTGTATTTCTACATTTCCCTTTTGAAAAAATCACCACTTTAGTTTTGGCTGTATCTACTTGAATTTCCATAACTCGCAATAGATAGATATAGCATCTAGTGCTAATTGAAAATCAGATGCAGATTCTTCAAAAATTACAGTATCATCAGCATAAAGCAGTAAAAACAATTTAAAGTAAACCTCTACTATATCATCACTTAGTACATTTTTAATAGACTGCGAAAATAAATCTAAACCATTATACGTATTTGAGATATGTTCTACAAGATCATTCAGGAAGACAGAAAAAAGAATAGGTGATAGGTTTTCACCTTGACGGACACCTGTTGCACTTGTAAAATATGTTGATAAACCCTGAGTGCTTTTTACACATGATTTAGCTTTGTCGTAAATACTATAAATTACCTAAAATAGTGTATGGTTCGATGCTAGAATTCTCCCGCGAGATTTCATTTGAAAGCAGACTCCATATTGGTAGACAACCTTTACATATTTCCGTAACAATTAGTTAGGTACACGATGTCATTAAAGTTTCATTTTTTCTAATCAAAATTTATTTGATTTCCAAATGGTATTTTTATTTGACGCAATTTTGATTAATAAGTGTGATTTGAATAGCTATTTATGTACGGCACACGAACTGCAAAAATTTTGATAGCCTTTGTAAATGGGGTTGATCAATAACTTCACTGTCACACAACGTCAAAATAAAAGCAATGCGACATATAAATTATAATGTAAAGGATAGTTCTTGTTAGATAATACTAAAATATAATGTACAGGATAGTTATTTAACTTTCTTGTTAAAATACTCAGATATTTAAGTTATGTTTTACAATACTTCCTTCCACAAAACATTTTACATAGCTTCAAGATCACATTACATTTTCTAGTGGATAGTTTATTACTATGTATATTTTGTTTTACATTTTTGTCAACATGAGCACAATAACAGAACTTATCAGATACCCTAAGTTTACGATGTTCAATAATTGACTAATATATTACATGATTAATGATGTTTTTATTTGATAAAATTTATAATTTTATACATTTTCGCATATTATTCAAGTAATTGAGCCGCGTCACGACAAAACCAACATAATGTCGGCGTCTGCGCAGTCTGATCAGGATCCATGCTTTTCGCTTACAGACCCTATAACAAGTAAAGAAACTGATAGCGAACAGCATGGATTCTGACCAGACTGCGCGGATTGGATCCATGCTGGTCGCAAACCCATTATGTTGGTTTTGTCGTGACGCGAAAATACTTGCTCGTCGACTGCTGAGATGTTCGTGTTAGATATTGAGTTAACTTACGGAAACACAATATGTTTGTTTAATTATACATACATCTTAAAATGTTCCATTTTCCAGATTAATAACCCTACACGAAATTATTACGTGATTGCTCACATTTACGATTTTGCATGGAAAACTAAGAACATATGCAAGTTAATCAGTATTACTTCGGCCGAGGATCTTTTTTCTTTAAAGATACTTCTTGTTTCATTTTCGTAATATTTCCTCCTAATTCATTTAATAAATAAATAATGACAGATAAAAATATAGAAAAGAAGAAGAAAACTTTATTTAACTTATAAATTTATATGTTTCTCTTTATACATCAAAACTACTAGAAATACATATAAACATTTGTCACGAAAGTTATTAAAACATAACAGAATAAATAAAAGAAATAAACATCTTACCTTATTTGTTCCTCCGGAAAAACACACGTCTTGATAAACCTGTAAACTTACACTGACTGCTTATATAATTGAAGTATTGCAAGACAAAAACGGACACGTTTGATAAATAATATCACATGAACATGTGTTGTACTTTATATTAACTCCGCCTTTCCTTGTCGATCTTGTTCATTTGTTTTGTAAATTAATTGATCATAATAATAATGATAAAAAATTCATAAGGAAAATACAACATGGCGAAATGGAAACTGTTGCAGGTTCAGTTTGATTGAGCATGGACTGTAGTGGTAAACAGCAAGCTACTGTCCACACCTCCTATAACCGGCTTAAGCCTAAGTCAACATTTAACATGAAATGGTTAAAATTTAAATTTGGAAACATCGCAGATGTGTTCACATGGTGGTTATAATGGGACCTTCTATAAAGTAAGGATTTGTTTGTTTGTTTGGGTCTTACGTCACACCGACACACTTTATGTCATATGGCGACTTTCCAGCCTTACTGCTGAAGACCTTAGGTGCCCCCGTGCATTATATCAGACATGAACGGGCACCTGAGTAGGATGTTGCCATCCCTGATATCAAGCTTGTAAACCTTACAATAATCCCTAAATAATCTGCAAGATTCCATTTATTCAGAATATCAAACGTCTTGTGATGTAAAACAACGTTTTCATTAAATTTCAATAGTGTCATTTCATTTTTAGTCTCAAGATGATGGGTCTAAAATGGCTACAAATTGAAAGCAAGTATTTGCGGACACATAAATGTTTATTTAAAAAACTGCAAACATACTAATAGCGGAAGGTGCTTTAAAGAAATAACATGACTGGTACCTAGCAAACGTAAAAAAATCATTACAATGTAAAAACGGCAGCCTTTACGGCAACCAAAATACATTTATTTAAAAGCATTTACTGAAGAAGATGTAAATTGTTTTAAAAACTATATTTTCTTCTAAAATTTTGATGATTTTCGACATTGTATACGTTTTCATTAGCCGCATATTTAGGAATATCGAACATTGTGAAATAGGCCAAAAGCAACTTTACTATAATAAATGCTACTTCCAACATACTTGTGAGAATTCAAATTGTTGGATTAGATGCACAGAAATTATATTTACTACACTTTAATACATCCCCATCATATTCAATTTATCTTAGGTCCAATATAGGACCAAAACTTATCAAGTAAATGACTGACACAACAGAATGATCTTCGAAACATCTCCTATTTTCAGAAATACATTTAAAATATAAATAATAAGTTATAAAGTCACAATTTTTGTAAAATTTGAATCGTAAAATTCATAGAACATTTTTTCTCGGAATTACTGCAACTTAAGAATTTAAATGACACTAAGTAAGAATATTTGATTGCATAGTGGCAAAGTGATGTATCGACCGTCAGCTTAAATATTTCAAGGTTGCAAATCGAAAATAAATCAGTACTCAGTATTTAAGCAGAATTCAATTTGTACCTTCAGAACTTTGGAACCCAAAGTGCGTTGATATAGAGCATATTAACGGACTTTGGGGGTCATTTCTCGATTTTGACTCCAAAGTGCGTTTGACCCCAAAGTGCACTGTGAAGTTTACCACACTTTGGAGTAGGACCCCAAAGTGCGTTTGACCCCAAAGTGCAGTTTACTAGAACTTTGTGTTGCTCTCTGCTATGCATGTGACTAATTGTATGTAAAGTAATTGACATGTATTATCTCTTGTATTTGTATGTATGCAAACAGAGAATATGTAAATAAAACTTGAAAACAGTGTTACACGGCATCATTTTATTTTTTGATGTCGTGTTAGAATCGAAATAATATATCCAAATCGGTAATTTTATCGTTTGATAAAATCACAGTTTATCGTTCGGATGCGCATCATTATATCACTCGGACTACGCCCTCGTGATATAATTCCTCGCATCTGAACTCCAAACAGTGATCTAATTGAGCGATAAATTCACTGTTTGGGATATATATGATTTCTTGAATAACACACACACTTATGCATTTCTCATATTTTATTTTACATTAAAATGTTAATATACATTGTCATTTCGTATCACCAGGCTTAGTCATAATATCCAGATGTTTATGAGTGGCAATTGCGCAGAAAGTTTGTACTTTTGGATTGTTTTATTCAACCATTAATCAGGAAAAACGTTGAAACTGTCAAGTTATCACTCCTTTTTTTATATGAAAAACAATGTAAATATTTGCAACAAGGAAAAAAAACGTTGAAACTGTCAAGCTATCATTCCTTTTTTATGTGAAAAACAATGTAGATATTTGCATCAGCTTTGAATCAAGATGATAACAATATGTATAATCAATATGAAAAAAGAATATGCATTATACTGCGCATATATTTGTATTTTTTATTTGTACATTATGTTTGATTTATGATCTTACAGAACTTGTTTATATATACAGAATTACTTATATCTAACATAACATAACATAACATAACATAACATAACATAACATAACATAACATAACATAACATAACATAACATAACATAACATAACATAACATAAGATATATTTTATTCAACATGAAATTGTATACATACAATTTATAGTCATACAGATACTGTGTGGTGCAAAGTGTAACAGTTAGCCGAGAAGTATTGTTGGCGTATATTAACAATTGTCATGATATATCTAACAAAGTTTGTATAAAACAAATGAACTTAAACAAGATATTTTATAAAACAAATGAACTTAAACAAGATATAAAAAAATATTTGTTAACGCTGCCGAGAAGTATTGTTATCAAGTTTCAACAATGGTTAAAAGTTTGCATAAAAATACTTATATATGTAAGAAACAAAGTAGAAAGATATTTGTTAATGTGCATTATATCACACGGCAATTATAATATTTCTAAGATGACATAACCGTTATATAGTAAGCATTTGTTGTCGTACATGAAGTTATCTCCCTTTTACCAGTAATCATTAGGAAACAAGTGTTATTGGATATTTAAATGCATAGTACAGATAACTTGCCAGATAATACATTGTTTTTATATTTGTGCTTGTCATTAGTGTTTCGAATTTCTGCATTGTAGGATATCTACAAAAATATGGTTTAAAAAACTTTCTACGTTAATTGTAATATTTTGGGCATACCAATAAGAAATGATATTCTGTTTCTACCAACTTTAATGGACAATTTCGACATTTTCTATTTTCTTTTGGCATATTATCGTGCCTTCCTTTTTCTATTTCTAGATTGTGAGCTCATAGTCTAAATTTGATTAAAATAATCCTATGGCTATCTTTATCTATAACGCTTAGATACTTTTCACACTGAAATTCGTGCTTAAAATGAGTGTAAGACGAAAATCTGTTAGAATAATAAATGTTTGAATGCCAATTTTGTTCGTAGATATCAAAATAAATTCTTTGTTTTATGACACATACATTTATATTTAGATTATCTTTTTGTACCAAGACGTTAGACATACCTATATGATTCAGTATATTTTTTATTTGATAATCCCAGTTTCTTTCCCTTTTTAATAGCTCATTATCTGCATCTTCTTTAAGCATGTTATACATTTTTTTTAGAATTGAGTTATCAGGTGACTTAAGTATTTTTATCCAGTATTTAAACATTATGATTTTAAGATGTATTACCATTGGATATCTCCCTATTATTCCATAAAATGCATCTAGATTTGTTGATTTACGGGCATAAAGTATCTTTCGAAGAAATGTAAAATGTACAAGTTCTATATTTTTACAATCATAGATTCCAAACACTTCTGCGCTACAATTTAAGACAGATTCTACTAATGTATCAAATAGTTTACATTTATCTTGAATTTTTAAATCTATTTAGTTAAATACTGTAAAAAAGTTATGCATAGAAAAGGATGAATGTTGGGCAAGATGCTTTTGTGATCTATTCCAGTGTCCATTTTTAAAGAAACAAATGTCTAAATATTTAAAGCTTTTTACGACTTCTAACGTTTGACCGTTGAAAATGAAGTTAAACGTTGAATGTCTACCTTGTCCAAATATCATTATTTAAGTTTTAGATGTGTTAACTTTCAGATTCCATGTTTGACAGTATGAATTCAAATAATTTAACATTGACTGTAATGCATCGGGTTTATTGGCAAAAAGAGCTGTATCATCAGCAAAAAGTAGCATTAATAATGTTAAGTCATGTACGGTGAAAATTCCATCAATGTTACAATTAATGTTATGAATTATGTCATTTACGAAAACTAAAAATAAAAGACTTGAACTGGGGTAACCTTGTTTTGCGCCTATGTTTGAGATGAAGTTTGGTGATATCTCTTTATTATACCTTACCGCTGATTTTATGCTTCTGTACATGCTTTCAATTACTTTTACAAATTTTGAGTTAACATTTTTCTTGAATTAGTGTTTGAAAGATAAACGAACGTTGTAATTTATCAAAGCATTTTTCAAAGTCTACAATATATTATTATAATAATATCTGTACTTTATATTTGTTTTGTGTTAGTGAATGTGCAACAGTATGGAACTTGTTAACAATTGGTTTTAAATTAATTGGGACAAAATATGAAGTGTTTTTCTTCAATTATATCTTTCAATGGTTACAATAGACCTTCCACAGTCAGGCTTGCTGGATAGATTCTTCGCACTTATGAAGCAAAAGTAATTTACATTATTAAAAAATAAACTAATATGCTTTTACACCAGGGTAGTGGAAACTGTTAACTTTGAAAGATGAAGGTTTTGTAATGTCCCCATTCATTAAATAAGACAAAGGAAAGTTCCTATCAGGGACATTTTTACAGCCGCCACAAGACAATAAAAGATATCAAGTTTGAGTCTCATCGAGGCCTTTACATGGAAAAATCGAAAATGTTGCATTGAATTTTACCTTGACTGTAATTACTCTCCTAGCATCGATTAAAGCTGAATTCAATATTTTAAATACTTAAATAATAATGTTTAATTCAGAAACATATTAAGAGGAATTCTAAAGGGTAAGATTGTGTTCTTGATAGGTCGAAAACTTGTTGTTAGAAATACATATTAATTAAGCAGTTATGAAAAATCAGCATATCTGAACTTCCTTTTGGTCCTTAGTACATATCTATAACACAATTTAACATTTTGTACTTCTACCATATTCAC